GATGTTCGGTGAGTGGACACGTCCGTTCACCTCAGCAGTCTGTAGCGGGATTGCTTCAGCCTTACGTTAATTATGCCGATTGTATTTGAAGGATCATACTGTGTATGGGGTAAATTAGTGCTTCAGAATCTTGGTTTAAATTTCAATAGCAAATTCATTTGATACATAAATTAAAATTAAACAAAACGCTTCATTGTAAGTCTTTATTTCAAATAATATGATTATAATAAAACTAAATTAAATATTCTTAACGAATAACTAAAGTAACTATTCGTATATTATGTATTTACAAAATGTTGCAGTTCATGCAGTTCATTACGAAATCAGTCATTATATAAAAGTGCAATAATAATAGATGACTTGTTTCACGTTAAACAATACTAGTTATTTCACACAACAAATGGATTCCAACTTTGGCTGCAACATCATAGAGGGATAACAGAACTAATGAGTTGTCACCTCTTACAGCGACAAATTCGTTTGAGCGCTCTCTTCAGGCCCGCGAAGTAATGTATCACTTGCTCCTGAAACATGCATATTGAATAATTAAACAAAACATATTAATACTAGCTTCCGCCCACCACTTCTGCGCGGAATTAAAAAAAAAACAAAAGTGGGTAGACTATATGTTCTTCCAGACTATCCTCTACATCTAAACCAAATTTCATCGTAATCCGTTCAGCTGTTTAAGCTACAAACTAACAAACATCCATGCATCTAAACTTTCGCATTTATAACATTAGTATAGAGTGGTATGGGCATGTTATGAGAAGGGATGAATCGTATGTAACAAGAAGGATGTTAGTTAGGAGGTACACCGGTAGAGGTAGACATAGAAAGAGATGGATGGATTGCGTGAAAGGTGACATGATCAAGGGAGTGATGACTGAGATGACGTATGATAGAGTGCTTTGGAGGACGAAAACGCGGTGCGCCGACCCTAAGGGAGTAGGATAAGGCAGGGAAGATGATGATGATTTATAACATTAGTATGAAGTGTCGGAGTGTTGTGTTGTCTTGTCTAGGTGGGATAGTGGTCAAGCGCTGGTTTTTTGCAATTTAAAAAAAAAAGTATGATTATAAACGAGAAAGTTTAGATGTTTGTTAGAGTTTGTAGCCTAAATTGCTAAAAGAATCTCGATTGTCATAGATGTAGAGGATAGTCTGGAAGAACACATAGCCTACTTTCTTTTATTAATTCCACGTGAACAGAGTCGCAGACGAAAATTAGTAACCATGAACAAACTATTATAATTAAATAATAGATAAATTAACAATGAAATTGAAAATCAATACTTCATCAACACAGACAGGTTTTTTGAAAGGACGATATTGAAATAGGATTAATTTCTAATCACAGTCCAACTTAATGTTCTATTTACAAATACCTTACTAGACATTTCACACTAAATATATACTAAGAATCAACTTCGAGTACGATCGTAAGTAAAATATTAGATTTTCAAGCTTATTCCACTGAACACATATATGCAAAGTTTAACCTAGAAATAATTTAAACATTTGATCGAAATACGGGAGACTTTGGTAATACGGCATATTTTAGGAAGTTCCTACCTGCATCAGATTGAAGCACATAGCCCCGAGAGCTATCCCCAGCATGAGGTAGAGCGAGCACACGATGAAGGAGGTCTCAATACGCGGGGTGTAGACCCTCTCGCCAGGGACGAAGTCACCGAAACCAATACTAGAAGAACAATTTAGATATTCGAGCGAGCACACCTTGGACTAAACTATAGCACAACAGACATACGATTGTCGATTGTTTTACAGTCAAATCAACTGTTTAGTTGCATAAAAATCAAGTAGTGCACCTCCGTAGATTGAGATCCCAGACCAGGATGACGACACCTATATTCTAAAACTTTACTATTATCTGATTAGATAGTAATCGTTTGTGATGTAACTGAATGGCTATTAGCTATCCTGTCCAATGGGGCAGTAATACGCTCATAGGAATCAAAGCGAGTCTAAACTGTGCGATTGTTAACGTAAAATGAAGTAATGAAAATGGATTGGATGTATTCTATTACCTGCTTAAAGATATAAAACAAAAATAAGCTCCATCCAATTGGTCCCATTTCTCCCATATACCGAAAATCATCGATCCAAACATTATGTATCTGGAAAATAATTACATAATTGTGATTTAAATTCGAATGTACGTTATTTAGTTTTTATGATCATAAATTAATCGAAGAGAATAAACGGAACGACACCAAAAACAAACTCAACTTTTCAACATTTTTTAAAATATATTCTAAGGTAGTATACGAGGCAGCGGCCACAAGAATTCATCGAAAAAGCGAAACAGGCTGCCAATAGACTTATGCAATTACGCACGTTACCTACCCTTAATTGGAAGAAGAGATAGAGGATATTTCCCCTTTTTATTTATATAAGTCCTCCGCCATCAATTCTACTTCCCTTGACATCCTATCCTTATTAGAAAAAGGTATAAAGGTAAAGGGACTGAAATTAGTAAAGTATGTAAAATATTTACCCACCCAACCATAACAGCAACGCACACACTAATCGGCACCGTGATAGTCTGAGCGTCAAAGGTGACGTAGCTGAAGTCGCTCGCCTCACTCTCCAGTCTGTACGCGGGCTCCGACCAACCACGGTCGTGTGTGTAGCGCGGCTCTAACTGATGTGGCATTCTCCGCATATCTAATCTCCTTAATAATGAGGAATTACTGTAAGAGGACAACTGTTGTGCGATTGTCGATTGTTTCAACGCCTCAACTATTTAGTTGCACAATTAAATCGAGTAGCGCATCTTCATATAAGCTCGTAGCAAAACAAGTCTAAGGGCGTGTCCTACCACTGACTGATAGATGCTCAGATGACTTAAAATGACGTCACTGTCAGATAAGGGAACGAAATCCGATATCACTTATTTAACACGTTGGATTGGTATCAGGCAATTTACAATTTGGTGTGACAGGCCCTAAATATTTGTGCGGTAGTTTATACAAAGATGTTTAAATAACTGAAAATAACTTCTAATGTCTAATATTAGATAGATCTTTGTCGTTTAAAGTAGTAACTTTTATTGGCTAAACTAAGTTTTTAATAAATTCATGGAGCTCTACCACCTGAAATAGATGGGGGAGTTGTACATTTTCTTAATATAGATAGTTATTTGTGCATGTGTTAATTTTGATTTTGCATTTCTGTTCAGTTGTGTCTCTTGATCAGTCATAAATTACGATATTCATCTTTACGTAGATTCAAGTAAAGTTTTAATTTTACTATATTTCATCATTTGAAAGATTTCTTTTTTAGATTTTAAAGCAATAATTTAGAAGCTTTATAATACCTTTGATAAATGGGATACGGTGGTATCCGATAGTCTGGTGTAACGTCGGACTCTGATACCCGATGTCTCCAACCCTCTGGACATTCTATACTCTCTGCTTCGCTGGTCTCCAGCTACAAAAGAGTACATCATTGAGATTATTTGATAGAAATTGGATCTACAGAAGAACTACTACAATTCTAATTGATTAATTAAGATTCCCAGAAGCAACAGATGCTGGACGAATATCGCCAATAATCACTTCGAAATAAAATGATATATCATCACAAATATGTATGTGTTCTTTCATACATCTCTATCAGCCGTCTTATCTGAATTCACTCCCTTCTTAAGAGCGTGCCCACACAACTGTTTAGTCGCGCATTGTTTCCTATGAGCTATATGTTTTTTAGTTGTGCTACTAAACAGTTGAGTTAGCTACAAAATAATTGACCGTCACCACAGTAGTGGCATAGTTTAGTCAAGGGTGTGCGCCGGCTCGAAGCATATCGTCTTTTACACAATTCATCCATACTTTCTCCTGTCTCTACCTTTGTACCCATCCACATTCAATCTTAATACATGACACATGAAGATAAATTCAATATTTCGTCTAATATTAAATGCTACCTAGTTACTCTCTTTAGTCTTTCCTGAGGACAATGGTAGTGCCCGCTTTAACATGTGAGCAGTGCAGGGCCGGCACGCCCCCAGTAATACCACGACCATACAGAAGACAGGCGTGAAATGGAAGCAATTCCGTGTTTCGTCTGATGAGTGTGGTGCCGGAGGCCTAATTTAAGTCCCTTTCTCTTTACCACCCTTTTCTTATGAGAGGATGTGAGATGCATAAGAAGAGGAAATATCCTCTTTATGTGCATCTTCTCCTCCATGGAATAAGGGTAGGCGACGCATCCGCAATTGCGGATGTGTATGGGCAGCGGTCACTTCGCCATTTTGACGGATTCAGGTGGCCGCTTGCTCGTTTGCCATCTTATGTTATAAAAAAAAAGTCTTACCTGAGTACGAATCCGAACAACCCGTCTTCTCGCAAACCCTGGACATCCCCGACACAAACACACCAATGCGTACAAACATTTGAACCAACGTGCCAACAATTGACCTGGAAATATTTAGCACATTTAACTAAAGCACTAAGTATCCGAAAGCAGTACTTCATTGAAAACTTACCAACATTAGTGACATATAGAAGAAAAAGCGGCATTCCAAGCAATGCGTAGAATATAGTCATCACCTTACCCCAACTGGTACGAGGACTTAAGTGACCATAACCTAAAATATAATACAATTTAATTTTCACGACAGGTGAAAAATTCTAGAAAAAGTAGAATTTAAGACACCTATCAGTTCATAAAGAAGTAATAGACATTTTACTACTAAAAATGATTTGCCCAAAGATCTAAAGCCCGCTAGACACGCTCAGTTATCTGAACAGTGGAATCGTCAGATAAATCTAATGTGTGTTGGCAAAACTAAGAACTGAACAATTCCTAGTGTTGATTGTTATTTGAACCATCGAACTGTTCATATAAAACAGCGTGTCTAGCGGACTTTAGAGAAGCATCTTCGAACCTTATACTCGGAAATCAAGACTATAACAGCGTGCGCACGTGATTGACTATACTATCGCACAACTGTTTAGTCGCGCTTTGATTCCTATGAGCTTAGGATACTCTCACTACTTGATTTTTTTGTGCAAACAGTTAAATTGGCTGCGAAAGCTCGACAACAGTTGTGCGATAGTTTAGTCAAAGGTGTTCGCCCGCTCTAAAGGTCACCTAACATTAACTATATGTAAATTGATCATGAAATACAATTTGTTATTCAATCAGTTACAAATTGAAATCTGAGTGATCGGCGCACTCCGACCGAAGCGAATTCAATATAATTTCCAGCGGGACGATGGAATCACTCGCCCTTGGAGTTGCTGCTTCAATCTTAGCAATAACCTAATTATTGGCCTCAGATCTGCAGACTTCAAAATAACTAGAAGTGGCTAATCGTTAAACTGCAATCATTTCATAATTTGCATCTACACATTTACTAAAAATTAAGTGGCCTAAGCGAGCAATTTTTACTACAGTTTGTCAAAATATTTAATTGAATTTAGTTTAATTTACATTTTATTATAATCGAAATGTTTGATATTTGAATGAATATCACTTCTTAGTTAATATTATTAACTAGCTGTTCCCGTGCGATTTCATCAGCATAAAATTATTTTATTGATTACATGCGTCAAATTGTCAGTTGCAAATGTCAAAATGTCATGACATGACAAAACTTGGCAATCTTGCTTTCTTGATGTTGGCAGCAACTTATGGTCTCTTTCCCACATTACGGTTTTTATCCAAAACATTTACCCCTTAAGTTAAATAGCGTGAAAATATATAGCCTAAAGCGTGACGTAAGTGTAGGGCTTTTTATTAAAGGAAGAATTATTCAAAAACATGCTGTAATTGCTGACATCTTAGGCAACAAAGGAGTGTGTGTTTTCGCTTTATTATAATAGTATAGATGCGAAAATGTTGATCGATGGATATTTATTAGAGTTTGTGGCCTAAAATGTAGAACGGAATTTCATGAAATTTGGCTTAGATGTAGAGGATAGTCTGGAAGAAGACATAGGCTACTCACTTTTGTTTTTTATTAATTCCACTAGCAATAAAGCGAAAAACCACCACCGAATAAACTATTTTTAAAATATTTTACCTATACTGGTTATAACAGTAAGAGAATAAAGAAATGCAGAGGAGAAACTCCATTGACGCGAAGATCGGCCGCCGTCCCAACCATTTCGGACCGCGGTGACTATTTTGCTCTGATATTTGCTTAGCTCTATGTTCAACCTGAAACATTGATTGAGAATAAATTGAATAAGCGTAATCGATGAATGTTTATAACGGAAATAAAAAAAATATATAAAAAAATATCAAAATCGGTCCACCAGCGGCAGCGTTATGCCGTAACACACATATAAAAATACATATAGACGAATTGAGTACCTCCTTCTTTTGGGAAGTCAGTCAAAAAGTCTAGCTTAAAGAAAATGGATGGAGGAGACGCATAACATGGAATAGTCGCTTTATGTGCGTCTCTTCCTCTATCAATTAAAGATAGAACGTGTCTGGAATTGCTTATGTCTATAGGCAGTAGTGGCTTCGCTTTTACAGCCAATTCAAGTTACTTCCACTCTTTTGCCACCTCATATAAAAATTGTATATGCGATATGTGGCTGAAAACCTTAAGGTCTCTAGTGAATCTTGAGCAGATTTTTACTCATATTTTTTCTAACCATTTCATTTATGTTTTAGTTTTTTAGAAATTACGATTTCGTAATCAGTAATCTGTACAATTAGAGCAGGCACATACCTTCAATTAAATTATCGCACAATTGTTGTGCGATTGTCGATTGTTTCGCAGCCAATTCAACTGTTCAGTTGCACAACTAAAAATCGAGTAGTGTGCGCAACTATCGCACGTTGGCAGTTGTGCGATAGTTTAGTCAAAGGTAAGGTTTATAACAGTGGTAGTGCCCGCTTTAACATCTTAGCACTGCAGGGCCGGCACGCCCGGTGTAATACCGCGACCACACTGAAGACAGGCGTGAATTGAAATCAATTCCGTGTTTCGTCTGATGCGTGTGGTGCCGGAGGACTAATTTAAGTCCCTTTCTCTTTACCACCCTTTTCTCATAAGGAGAGGATGGGAAGGGGAAGTGGATTTGACGGTGGAGGAGATGTATAGGAAGGGGCAATATCCTCTTTATGTGCGTCTCCTCCTCCGTCGGATAAGGGTCGGCAACGCATTTGTAATTGCGGATGTCTATGGGCAGCGGTCGCTTCGCTATTTCGGCGGATTCAGGTGCCCGCTTGCTCGTTTGCCACCTTATGATATAAAAAAAGGTACGCGTGCTCTTAACCTATTGGATAATTCGCTATAGCTATTTTCTTTTGTTTTTTAACCATAAAGAAAAGAAATGAAAGGTCGTACTTCTTACCTGTACTTTAAAGCAGTCTCATTGAAAAGATTAAGAGCTAACGTGACGTTCTGCCAGAGGTACTGAGCTGTGTTGTTCCTTTCTAACGTCATATTGTTGACTCTCTCTATCTCGCTCGCACCTTCAATCGCTTGGAACATGAATGCCCCTGGAACATATAGAACTATGAATATCTAGAAGTGACAATCGATAAAATAAAACAATATCTTTATCTACATTTATATAAACATTCGATTCCTTTCCTAAACTCCCACTGTTTAAATTTGAAATTTGGACTGTTCAGTTGTAACTGTCAGTTAGATCTGTTCATCTGTAGCATGTTCAGCACAAATTGAATATTAAGACTAAATTATCGCACAACCGTTTAGTCGCACCTTGATTCCTATAAGCTTATATTGTGCGCACACTACTCAATTTTTAATTATGCAACTAAACAGTTGAATTAGCTGCGTAGCAATCGACAATTACACAACAGTTGTGCGATAGTTTAGTCAGGTGTGTGTCTACTCTAAGGCTCTACAGAAAAAGGAATGTATTTAAAAAATACTGTAAGTAAAAGCTGATTTAATTTTCAAAGACAGCAGTAAAATCTCATTGACTGAATAAGATTGATGTCGGTGTAAAAGGGACTTAGTTAATTATTAACTCTGCCTTTTGACTGTGATTTGAAAGCCAATTGACGTCTTAAATTTAGACGAAGGTATCGAGAATAAAATATAGCATAACATTAATACAAATTCGATTACGTTCGATTCCAACATACCATTTAACGGATAAAAATTAAAAAAGTTTGTAAGTGGTAATCTTCACAAGTACAGAACCAAATTAAAAAAAAATCTTTAAATTTATTAGTACTTTTATCAAAGAAGGTTTTAGTATATTTAAAACTATGCTACGACTTTAAAGAGGTGAGCAAATCCAAAAAATGAAAAAAATAACTATAACTCGGTTGAAATGAGGTTGAATATAATTTAAATCGAACAGTGTAAGTAAAACCGTTGGGAAACATAAATATTTTCGACTAGCTGTTGCTCGCGACTTTGTCCGCATAAAAAATAATAAAAAAGGTATCTAATGGTGAAATAATTTTTAAAATCCGCTCAATAGTTTTCACCTAAAGCCAATATATGTACATAAAAATACAAATCTTTACTCTTTATAACATAGAAGTATTTATTTAGTATTTAATCTTACCAGCCACAGTATATCCGACGACAAGCACAATCAAGCCGATATTACTGAAGAGGAACGCGAGAAAACTTCTCAGGTAGTTCCTGATGCGGGAGGCTAGACGGCGCTTGCGTCGCGGCATCATTTACCAACCATCGTGACTCACGGCCAGAGAGATGGCCGCATTATTCACTTCTGTCCACTATCTACTATCTCCGACGATATTTGACTACACACTCCTGAAATAGAAAACAAAAAACAAATTATTTCCCATAGCGCCAGCACAAGTATTGACACACAGTATAAAAGTATTGACACTTTAATAATGATTAGCTATTGCTCGCGACTTCGTCTATGTGAAATTATGTTACTCGCTGATAGCGTAGCGTTCTAATGGTGAAAGAATTTTTAAAATCGGCCCAGTAGTTGAGTTATAATACATACAAAAATGCAAATCTTTACATTCATAAAAATCAATCATAAAAATAGCAAAGTTGCTGTAATTCTTACTTCTTACTTTTTAACTTGTTACCGAGAGCTCGGCAACCAAAAATACAAAACAAAAACTTTTCTTCCAACCAAAATAAACTTTTTTCATACTTATTTACATATGATATTTAAAATAATTCCAAAAATCTATATCGCAGTCGCATCTTTTGCGCGTCTTTTTCCTCTATTCTTTTTCTATAAAATTATGCAAACCTCTTGGTGGCCAGTATGCAACATTCTTGGTTGTATTCGTACTGCTTGTCAGCCAAAGACGTATTTTGCACTCAAAACTTACTTCACTCGGGCGTCAACTAGATATCCCCAAAATACCAGGTACTAAGTCTCTTGTTACCAGACTTCAATTGTTTATAGGTTTTTATTTTGTTGTACCCACATACCACTAATAATAAGACCAGAAAGACGTGCGTTTTTAAGTAAAGCAAAGGGCTACAAATTAATAAATGTTTCTCAACACCACAACATAAACTATAACCAATCGTAAACCTATCCTCACAGATATTGCTCTTGAATTAATTTTATATTTCCTTTTTTCATTTATAATTTTGAATTTAGAATAAATTTTACTGGCAATGAAACTTGATGAAAAATGATCGTTTCCGGTGCTAAAAATTCTTTCACGCCTAAAACTTTCAACATCGCAATAATTTTTATTCATCCAATCTTATAAAATTTAAATTATAATTTATACTACAGATATTTTGATGTAAACAGTGTGTAATAGGGTTGCCACCTTTATCATTTTTTTATAAACAAAATAGTTATTTTGTTCCAAAAGTTTTCAAATTGAAACAATTTCAAGAATCGATTAATCGATATCATCATCACCAGCTCACTACATATCCCCACTGAGGGGCTCGGAGCCTACCCTAAGTTAGGGGTGACTAGGCTATAGTCAACCACGCTGGCCCACTGCTGGTTGGTTGACTTCACACATATCTTTGAATTTGTTCACCGATATGTGCAGGTTGTATCACATTGTTTCCCTTCACCGTAAGAACGTCGGGTAAATTATATACATGTGAATTTCAAAAAATCAAAAATCAAATTGGTACATGGCGGGATTCGAACCCAAGATCTGTAGATTACAAGTCAAGTGCTTAAACCACTGAGCCACCGATAAAATATAATATCGATTCAATTATACGACTGCTTACAACAAAGTGTATTACATTGCTGTGTTTGTACGACCCTGTCTCGAGATCTGGATTGTATCTGACGATGTAACCAGCAACGTATCAGACATTATAATTAATTACATTTACATTAACACTTCTGTACCTATGGGTAACAGATTTACGAATCGAAACACCCACGCTCTACACTTGATAATAAATCGCTAACTTTTTCCTACGACGTCGTCCGCGCGAAATTAAAATAAAATTAGTCTAAATTTAGGCTATGTGTCTTCTGGAGAAATCAAACAAAGATACAAACATTCGCATTTATAATAATAGCAAGATTACGTTTTAATATTCGCGCCTTTCTGTGATTAATTATATATTTTGTAAGTACAGTCGGGAAAATCCGCGGTGTAACAATTTAAAATATTGTTTCCTACTTTGCAATAACAAACTCCGCCTCTTACAGATAACAAATTTGGTAACCAGTTGATTGCGAAAATGACGCGATAATTAAAAAAAATTACCTTCTACCACTGACCCTATTTGTTTTGTGAACATAACGTTAAACCAAATACCGCCAGATTCTCTGACTGTACTTATAAAAGACGTATTTTCCATGACATTTATAAACCCACACACAATGTGGCATTTTAGAGCTCCATTTAAATAATCCTATATGATTAATCTTGATTGAAATCATAAACTTCAAAGGGATCATGCGTAATGGAAATATATTTACTTTGATATCGTATATCAGTAGACGAGACACCCACCCACGTTTTGCTAGCTTACTACCATTTTACTGTCAGACATGAATTATTGTTTTCTCTATTTTACAACAGAGAAATGAAAAGGATAGACGATGATTGAAGAAAGTATGGATGGATTGTGTAAAGGGTATGTCACAAATGTAAGTATGTTATCTGTTCTTCCAGCCTATGCTCTACATCTATGCCAAATTTCATCAAGATCCGTTCAGCAGTTAAGGCTACAAACTAACAAACATCCATCTAAACTTTCGTATTTCTAACATTCGTAAGTTATTTGGATTTCTACGTTTAAATTAATAATGCAAACGTGTTTATTTTTGTTAAATCTCTGATTACAGACTTACAAACAAATAATTGTTTAGATAGGTTAATTATAAATTTATTCCTTTTTAATTTGACTACTCTATCGATCTTATTTACAGAAAACAGTATGAAAATCTGTGACAGAGATAACAACATATAATACAGGTGTGTTAGAACAGTACCGCCAAGAGATTACGAAAGCGGATGTCGATGTTACTAGTAATAACGTTTATGTCACAAAACCAAGGTTCGATTCCTGAACGTTTATTGGTACGTAAAACGGTATGTAGGATTCTGTCTAAAAATAGTGTAACGGTTGAGCCAAGCTCACCTGATCCCATGTACTAGGCGAGCATAAAACGTAGGGACATTCAACATTCAAGCTAGCTTTCGCCCGCGATTCCGTAAGCGTGGAATAAAAAAACTGAGTACCCTATGTGTTCCTCCAGACAATCCTCTACGTTTATGCTATTCGTCGAAATCCATTCAGCCGTTTAGGCTACAAACTCTAACAAACATCCATCCATCTAAACTTTTATAATATTAGTGTAATATAAATTATAAAAAGTAAATGGAAAGAAAAGTAAAACATTAACTAAAGATTAATTTATTATAAAAAAAATTGTTAAATACGAAATGAATTGTATGAAAAAATACAAATTAATCAAATAAAGAAACTGGCTGGCATAAATATGAGTGCATTAAAAAATTAAAAAAATTGTATGCGATTTACAAAGGCCAGTCCAGAAAGCAAGACAATAAAAATCACATGTCACAATTCAATAATATCGCTGCGTTCCAAACTGCAATCCCTCATTATACATCAAACAAAAATAAAAAAGCAAACTATTTAAAAACATTCAATAATATATGCCAGCATCAAAGAAAGACTATTTCTATCAAAATGTCGAGTCTAAACAAAATAGTGAAACTATGTCGTATTGGCTTTAAAATTTAGAAGCACGCTTTTATGATGGCTGTTCTACATGTGTTGATGACGTCAATGATGACGTCATAACGAAGACGACGAACTGAAAACCATGAGCATATATAACTGGACTAGGCAACAAAGATATTTTATCACTAGCTGTTGCCCGCGACTTCGTCCACGCAATATTAAGTTAAAATTGCCTATAATATGCCCTTCTATGTCAACTAGCCTGCAGTGAAAGTCTAGTCGAAATCGACCCAACTATTCCGGAGATTACCCGTAGCAAATGAGGCTTGCGGACAAACAGACATTACTTTTGATATTACTAACAGACACTCCAATTACATTTACATTTAAGTTTATTTCATACTAATCATATTAGTTAATTTTATAAATGAGAAAGTTTAGATGGATGAATGTTTGTTAGAGGTTGTAGCCTAAACGGCTGAACGGATTTCGATGAAATTTGGTATACATGTAGAGCATAGTCTGGAAGAACACATAAGATATTCATTTTAGATTTTTTTAATTCCATGCGGAGGGACTCGCGGGCGAAAATCTTAATATACAGGAGCGAATACAACATCAATGTTCCTATGATGTTTGTAGCTCGTTTCACGTTTTCCAGATTTTAAATACAGTCTACATTGCTAGGCACAAAACGAGTTAATTATAGACGTTACCTTTAATAGTTTCTACATCTCTTAAGCAAAACCAGTTGGCAGTGTTTCCATCAACAAACCGACCGTAAATCTAAAAGATTTTGCAATCTTAACATCTGTAACTACGTGTATCCGAACGGTAAAACGCTTGTAAACTTTTATAGCTAATTATAATAAATTTAAAGTTCCTCTTTCTATTTACTAAGCGATAATTATTTTTATGTCCGGCGCTTTATGAGGAAAGAAATATTTCTCCACGTATACAAGTACATTAAGAATATATTTACAGTAGCTTTCGCCCAAGACTCCGTCTGCGTATAATTAAAAAAACAAAAGTTACTAGCCTACGAGTTCTTCTAGACTATCCTCTACGTCTATGCCAAATTTCATCAAGATCCGTTCAGCCGTTAAGGCTGCAAACTCTAACAAACATCCATCTAAACTTTCGCATTTATAATATTACTAAGATTATTAACTATGTCAATCATACAAAAAAAATAAACACGTGAAAAACAACCTCTCGAATCATTCGGATGAAATAACTAACAAATTGTTAAATCTACTACACAATTTACAATTTATCAATCCTACTAATATTATAAATGCGAAAGTTTAGATGGATGGATGGATGAATGTTCGTTAGAGTTTGTAGCCCAAACTGCTGAACGGATCTCGATGAAATTTAGCATAGATGTAGAGGATAATCTGGAAGAACACATAGGTTACTCACATTTGTTTTTTTTAATTATACGCAGACGGAGTCGCGGGCGAAAGCTAGTGCTTTATAAAATTCAAACAGAACATAGACGTTTTAAAATAGATGAACATATAAACCAATCAAGATATACAGAGTGATGGGTAATTAAAACTGCCAGCGGAAAATAAAGCTAAACAATTGATGCCGCCGATGTGATTTACAACATAACAACTAAATGCTTAGAGCGTACGCACAATTTTGACTAAAGATCGCACAACTTTTATGCGATTGTCGATTGTTTCGCAGCCAATTCAAGTGTTTAGTTGACAACAATCGAGTAGTGTGCGCCCCTCCATATAAGCTGATAAGAATCTTTTGATTTGAAGATTTGTTAGATAATAATATCATAAATAATAAATCCATCATATCCATCCAGATTTCGTGAAAGGTGACATGATGAAGAAGGGAGTGATGACTGAGATGACGGATGGTAGAGTGCTTTGGAGGACGAAAACCCGGTGCGCCGACACTACAGAAGTAGGATAAGGCTAGAGAGATGATATTACAATAATTTGTTAACTTTCATTTAACTTAAGTTATTCAAACCTTTAGCACTAGTCGATGAGATTATCTTAAAAAAGGTCAGGACAATTAATTTTATTAAAAACAACCACCCTTTCTTAATAAGATGTTGATTATATAGTCCAAAGGTAATAAATCACTTAAGAGTTTACACAAATAAATCTCAAATATAATACAATAAAATCTAGGTATTTAAATTTCGAACGAAGACTTCATCGTTTACATTGCTGAAACATTTTGACATGCCTGATTAAACATGACACGCGCAGATAAATAGCAAGAATAGTATTAAATAAGGAGTAAAAGGTTAGAGTGGTATGGGCATGTTATGAGAAGGGATGAATCGCATGTCACAAGACGGACGTTAGTTGTGAATGTGGAGGGATACATCGGTAGAGGTAGACCTACAAAGAGATGGATGGATTGCGTGGAAGGTGACATGATAAAGAAGGGAGTGATGACTGAGATGACGGATGATATAGTGCTTTGGAGGACGAAAACCTGGTGCGCCGACCTTACGTGAGTAGGGCAGGGGAGATGATAAGTATTAAATCAAAAATACGAGTAGTAAATAAATCTTACTTGTAACCTATCTTGGGTTCAAATCATGCAACATACCAATATGTTTTTGGAATATCATATTTGCATTTACCCGACGTTCTGTTGAAGAAAACATCGTGATGCAACCTGCACATATCTATCAAGTAATTTAGAAGACATCTGTGAAGTCAACCAACATATACTGGCTGAATATCTATAACTTAAAAATAAGCAATCCCAATCAAATCACGTCATACTATCACACTTCATACTAATATTATAAATGCGAAAGTTTAGATGGAATGGATGGATGTTTGTTAGAGTTTGTAGCCTATATGGTTAAGCGGATTTCAATGAAATTTGGTATAATTGTAGAGGATAGCCACAAAGAACACATATGCTACTCAATTTTGTTTTTTATTTAATTTCCGGACACGGAGTTGCGGCCATAAGCTAGTATTTCAATATATTTACTCACCTCAATCCAATAGAACATTTTCAATTATTACAATAAACAAAAAGATGTCTAAATCATCACTATCACTATAAAATTAATAAGAACACTATTAACAATGTAATAATTAATATACAAATTCCAGATGGTTAAAACTGGAGTACTGAATAACACAGGTGGTAAAAGCTCTGTGGTTCGAGCGGCGGGGTGCGCAAGATTCGACTAACCAGCTGTGCAAAACTCGGTTCATAAGATGACATAGATTAAACATATAATAGACGTGAATTTACAGTCCGCTTTAACATGTTAGCAGTGCAGGGCCGGCACGCCCGGTGTAATACCACGACCACACAGAAGACAGGCGTGAAGTGGAAGCAATTCCGTGTGTCGTCTGATGAGTTGGGTGCCGGCGGCCTAATTTAAGTCCCTTTCTGTTTACTACCCTTTTCTTATAAGGAGATTATGGGGAGGGGAAGTGGATTTGACCGCAGAGGAGATGCATAGGAAGGGGCAATATCCTATTTATGTGCGTCTCCTATTCCGTCGGATGGGCAGCGGTCGCTTCGCCATTTTGGCGGATTCAGGTGGCTGCTTGCTCGTTTGCCACCTTATGTTATAAAAAAAGAATACGTTATTAAATTATCCCTTTAAATAGCAGTACAAATTTTAATTTATTATTAAGCACCTTTATATGTTGCTAAGGCCGATAAAAAGTCATTTGTGTCTCTTGTACTAGAACATCCATATTATTGATGCATTACTTCTTTTTTTTTTGCATTTCATCAACAGTCTCGCTGTTCGTAAGCACCCTGATTATATTATAATGAAATGTACGTTGATTTATCAAGTTTTAAACCTAATCTTACTAATATTATCAATGCTAAAGATGGAAGAACAGTTAGGCTACATGCTTTTGTTTGTTTTTAAATTCCATACGGACGGAGTCGCGAGGGCAAAGTAGTGAAATAAATTAAAACCTCTAACATCAAATGCTCGGATACATGGCACTACAGCTTGCCTTATCTTGCAGCAATATTCTTGTTCATATATTGCAACGTGTGAGTGCCCAAAAGAACGAATGAGTTACAATATAAAAGTAAACAGACATTCCACTCTGTTTCTTAATCTATGACATGTCTAGTTCTAATATTAACCGCGCGACGTCGGTAGCGGCGTATCAGTTTTAGTTTTTATTGTACGCTCCGGCGTCGATTTATTTCTGTACTGAGCTTGGCTCTGAACGCTATTGCCCTAAAGGAAACATTAACTAGCATCAAAAGGGACAGAAACTATACTTTTCAAGGCCTTTCTACTACACAATGCCATTTAAAAACTCTGTAACAGTTACACGTATAATTATATCCAAAAATCATAACATAAATAACAGCAAGTTGAATATTGTTTAACACATTGACTGCGGCAAGTAAAATCATAATTATTCATCTGGTGCGGCGGCGGGCCAAAATGCACCCCCAATGATATTTCCGCCACTGCGTGGCAGGTCTTTCTAGACCCACCAGCACTAAGATAGATTAAATTGCTACGATTTTGTGGAAACATAATATATACATTTTATATATTGTAATGTATACATCTGAGATAATCGTTTCGTACTAGCAAAAGAGACAAAGTATTCTTCGTCCACACCAGCTTAAGAACCGTGTCAGGTCGATATCGGCCTGTTACGCAGTGAGCGTGTTAATATTGTTCTAATTATTAAAGAGCAGTTGGGATCTGACATGATCTGACTCTAGCCAGTTTAACATTTTTGTTTTCGTTAATAGTGGCCAGCGACATCTGTAGAATAAGTCGGCTCCGGTGCAATATTACGACGATAGAAGTTTCGACGCTTTTTTGACGAATTAAGATGACCGCTTGCTTTATCACTTTATGATGTAAAAAAAACTTTTAAGAACTTGCTTATTGTATTACAAAATGCCCTTAATCTTAAAATTTTTGCAGCAGTATTACAACAATGGACAGTAGACCAAAAGAAAACATTTCCATTTTTCTGTTTTAACTGTACAAAATTTATTTTCGTAGTCACGTATCAAATCAACAAACTAAAAACTAAGTTGTGCAAACACATAAAATTTATGTAGCCGATATTGTCTGGTATTGAATTTGTTGGCTTCGGATCACTAGCGCCATCTGTCTCCGCCCTACTTGCGTCTTGGGAAATGGCTTTTTTATCATTTAATACAATCGTGGTGCGTGAACGAATGTACACAATCGATATTTAAGCTAGGCAAAGTTTATTCGGCTTTTTAAATAACATTGTCTTATCCACATTAAGATCATGCACTCCTTTGACTAAACATTTTTTTTAATTTCAGACCCTTTCCCTTTCCACCCTTTTCTAAAGAGGAAAGGATGGAAAGGAAAAGTGGATTTGACGGTGGAGACGCATAGGAAGGGGAAATGTCCTCTTTACGTGCGTCTCCTCTGTCAATTAAGGGTAGGCAACGCATCTGCAATTTCGGATGTTTATGGGTAGCGGTCGCTTTCTATTTCGATGGATTTAGGTGGCCTCTTGCTCGTTTGCCACCTTATATTATTAAAAAAAAGCTACTCGTATTGTACAAATGTTGTGCGATTGTCGATTGTTTCGCAGCCAATTCAAAACTAAAAATTGAGTAGTGTACCTTCTTATAAGTTCATAGGAATCAAAGCGTGACTACACAGTTGACAAACTAAATAACCTATGGCTTCACGTTTATCTTGCAAGGTAATGGCTTCACGTACTAATAAGTATAGACATGAATAGATTTGTATGGATATAGTTCGATAGACATATCCAGTGTGGGTATATGACCCACTAAATTGCTCAAACATAGCCGCGCAAACTATACCTATGCAAAAGCAACGTTGCCTACTCTATATTAAATAACCAGAGGAGGGCGCAAAAAAGAGGATGCTTCTGATCCTCCACATCCTTTTCCTTTCAACCCTTTGCTTCAAAACTCATAATTTAAATAAATTTTTGAATTTCTTCTCAGATTCTTGCACATTATTATTGGTAATTTAACGTACATATGTACAAATTACGCAAATTATTTTGAACAGAATTATTCCTGATTTCTTATTCTGTTTGCCCGTTGTTATTTCTATAATTTTTCATCGGCCAATTTCTTGCAAGCATGGGAAATGATTAGTGTAATAGAGGTTTGTGTTATTTCAGGCTCAGATGCTATCTGTGGACCGCAAGATTAATTTGCTTGCATCAATAACCGGGTCGAGAACGTTTTGGTGTAGGGTTGCCATAATCGCATAGATTAAAAAGTTGAGCAGTAATCTTTTAACATTAAACTTCGGAATAGAAGAAAGCGAGATCCTTTATTGTTTAATTGTTCTTAGAAATAACACGATACATTATTTAAAAACTAATTAAAAATACGATGGTGCTGAAAACGTATTGGTATCATAAAATTCCGAACGTATTTTTTTTACAATTAAACGAAAATACTTAAAAATTGAAGGAAATCGTTTTAAATGAATCCGTGTCAAACTGGTATAAATTTTAACGCAAAATCATGGTCACCCTACTCATAGTACATTACTCGCGCTTGAAATATTTTATCCGAACTGCCTCTGTTTGTGATTCATTCGGAAACGTAATACATTTGTGCGTTGATATTAATTTTGTTTTACCCTTGTTGAATAATTATACAATGTATATAAGCAAGCACATTTTATATACGCTATTGTAGATTGATTAATAAAATCGATTTTGGTATATTTAACCTAAACTAAGTTCAAATATTAGCTACTTTTGACATTATTTCAAATTGTGAGAATGTACAATTTTGAAAATCTTGAATCAGTTGGTTTTCAAAGTAGCAATACTGTTAAAACAGATTATTCCACTGGTTTAGAAAAACTTTTGATGAATTTAGATTTGGACCCAAAAACGGTTTGTGTATTCGTCGATAAATATTCCTAATCTAAAAAAGTGACATCTAGTGAGTATAATTAGTACATGAACGTTGTCGACATACTTCAAATATATATTAATGATAACAGATGTCGCTGTCTGTTCTTGATGAACCCTTTTAAAATATTTTTATTTAAAATAAAAAAAAAATCTTCTGTTTCAAACTCTAAACCTAAGATATTAAAATAAGAAATAATTTTCAAAACCGAAAATGTGGAAAAGAAGGTGACAAAGTAAAGAAACGTAAATGTCACACTGGCAACACAGACAAAGTTAAAAAAGCTGTCATTCTTGAGTTCTTGTTCTTGACAGTTCTTTCGAGTTTCCATCAATTTTAGGCATAACACGTTTCGTGTCGTTACGACTTAAAAGTAAGTGAATTTAATTGAAATAAATATTTAAATGTGATTTACAGTGAGTATTTAGTGTATTGAATTTATATCCGTGTGCTTATACCTCGTAATATTTAGGATTCAAGTGGATATATATTAAACGGACTAATACTCGAGTATTGATATCTTTTACTGTAAATAATAATAACACGTGTGTTTTATTAATTAGGCGCCAATTGATGTTTTTTGTACTGTAATTTTGGTTATCTATCTATTCCGTGTACAATTTAGTCGGCATATAGCGGTACAGGTTAGGTTATTTTTAGTTATTACCGCATGAATTGTAATATTTGTTTTACCAATCAATCTTACACGGTTAATTTTACTATTTTCAAGTAAAAGTCAAAACATGATAATTTTAAACTTATATATAATTTAATAGTAATTTTAGTTTAATGCATAAAACTAATACAGATTGTTTGTCCAGTCGTCCTTAAGTCTCAGTAATACACGTGGAAAGTACTGCGTACAGATCAACAATTATTCTCTAAAGGTTGTTAGTTCCCCCAAATTGTGTGTAACATTCCTATAACAAATGGCGCGAATCATGTAACATTAAAACTTTTATATTTATCACCTAGGTCTTTTCTTTCATAGTAAATCTTCTATACCACTAACAATCTTCATAACTGACAATCCTATACATCGATCTCTACTTTTGCCACTATAACAGTTTGTATTTCTCTGAATTTCAGAATGCGTTACGTGGCCGCGTACCTGTTAGCCGTGCTGGGCGGTAAGGCCTCCCCGGCCGCCGCTGATGTGGAGAAAATCCTCAGCTCTGTGGGCATTGAGGCTGACTCGGAGAAACTTAAGAAGGTCATCTCCGAGCTCAATGGCAAGAGTGTTGACGAGCTTGTTGCGCAAGGTGAGATTCTTATATTTTTCTAGATATTTCATATCTGCTTTATCAATATGAATATGACATAGCCTTATGTAAATTAAATGCTTTGCAAATTTTGTGTTTGGTTAATTTACAAATTTTATAATAATCTTTCATTTTTACTAAGTACAAATGAATTATGATGATTTTAAACTTAACCATCTTTCGTCTGAAGGATCTTGCTGTAAATATTTGTACTGAGAACATCACAACACTACATAGAAGCAATTCTGTTTAAGTTTGTATTACAATGTATCTGTTATTTCAGGCCGCGAGAAGCTGTCATCCATGCCAGTAGGTGGTGGTGTTGCGGTAGCTGCCGGAGCACCTGCTGCCGCTGCCCCCGCAGCTGAGGAGAAGAAGGGTATGTATCCATGGGTTACCTGATATTATCCATAAAGTATAGCTGTATAGCTTTTACATATGAATTGTTAAGATTGGGAACATATTAAACTAGCTTTTGTATGGACCAACTGCGCTATTAAAAAATCTAGTTATAATATTAGTTATTTTGCTCAGTATCTATGTTATATTTAAATGAGTTATTATTATTATTCAATACTTTAGATTTCTAATTGTGATAGGTTTTATAAAATTGATCAAGTAGTTTTTGAGTTTGAATGTTACATGTCTTCATTTTTGAAATTGGCCCAGTAGTTTTTAAGTTAGTACTATACATATAAGAATATAAATCTTTCCTCTTTATAATACTGTTGCTCACAGCTTTGCACTTGGGAAATAAGAATATTGTTACGGATAAATTGCCTTTCTAATGGTGTGAAGAATGTTTGATGGCCCAGTAGTTTTAATTTGAATCGAATACATTCAAAAATCCAAAAATACAAATCTTCCAATTTTTAATATTAGTATAGACAATAAAAGAAACCTAGCATTTTTGTTATTTACAAAACTAAACTCCATTTATGTTTATGATGATTAAGAAATACACCATCTTTCGACTGAGAGACCATGATGGTAACAATTCAATTCTGAGGTCACATTGTAATAATATTTCTATAAACAGTTACTTCTCAATACTAATACAAATTATCTTTACAGAAGAGAAAGAGGCCAAGAAGGAGGAATCCGAATCAGACGATGAGGATATGGGCTTCGGTCTTTTTGACTAAATATTTTTATAATGGTAAGTTTATCTAAAGGAAATACATGCCAGTGAAATATAGCTGGTATGGATCTACTGTCACAGAGAAATACAAATGCCAGGAAAAAGTTGACAATATTGTATGTGACGAAACGGGAGTGTCTGCCTTCAAGTGACATGCCCATAGTTGTTACTAAGTCAAAAATTATGAACTGCCATAGCATGGCCATGCTTGCACTGGATAAGAAAAGATGTGCAAAGAAAAAATATTTCAAATATATGTGTTCATTGGCCAGCACAGTTAGAATGTTACAATCTTAGATTGTATAGATTTACTGGTGCCCCTTTACACTATATCTGATAATTGACAGTCCAGTTATTGAAAACTATTGTCCAACTGTACTGGCCAAGTGTGAACTGTGCATAATCAATTTTGTTCGCCATATTAAATTGCCCAGCTCTGCCTTGTACTGTTGTAACAGAATTATTTTTGTCCACAGTTGTGCGGCGCACGCGGTTTTTATTCCAATTTTGGTATAAGAGTAACTTGACTGACGTCTGTATTTCTGTGAAATATATGGCGTAAGAAAATTATAATCGTTTTATTTTCCTTTAAGTCACCCTTTATTCAGATCTATGTGTTTACAATTTTAAAAAAAATTAAAAAACGAAAACTTTATTAATGTATTTTGTGTTGATACATATGTCATACTGGAAATAACATTGCCAAAGCATGTATTTTTACAATTAGCTTGAGAATATCTTAATATTACAGAAACATTTTCCAAAAAACCTGTATATTTATAGTTATTAATCAATGTCAAGTTTTTTAAATGATCCTTCTACGCCACCGAAAATGTCTGGTATAGTTTTAGGCTTGCCGGGCCGCAGCGCCTCCACCGCTCGCTTATTATTCTCTGCTATGAAGTATTCTTTATTAGCGATCATTTTCGAAATTACCGCTTCTAAAAAAAAAAAAAATAAGAATTCAAAACAACAGTGTTGCCCATGAAAATTTTTACCCGGATATGTACATAGCGTAAAAAAATCGTGTTAGTAAGAAAAAAGATCAGTGGAAAGACAGTACTATTTAAAAAGTGGATTTACTAAAGAAAAACAATAGAATCTACTATGCCTTAATCGTAGCATTGGCAACATTGATATAATTGACATCTGTCAATGTGCAACTAGTGATGTGAATCAATCAGACATAGTTCCGTTTAAAACGAATCGGTAAACCGTTCTCCGGATGATTTTTAAGATGTTCGCAAAAATGTCTACGATGGTTTTTCATCAAAATTTAATATTTAATAACCATTTGTTTTCATCTAAAATTTTGAAAGGCCGTTGTACTTGTATGAATGTACCGTGATATTCCTTGGTAGTCTTGCAACTGCCGCCCGCGTCGGACGGTAACGCTGTCATCGGTATGTATTTATCCAGCGTCGTTGAACCGACTTGATGCACGCAGAGGATGTCCATGAGTTCCTTCTTCATGAAAGGCCTCATCATCAGCAATATTTTGTCTATGAATGATGGCGCGTTGATGAAGTGTAAGCCTTTAAGTTTAACTAAAATTGCTTCCTGAAATTTAAATAAAACTGACTTGAACACTAAATATTACGGATTACATTTTTTTTAGCGGTACATTGCTCAGCAATCATTGCTGTGGAAGGAATTGCGCGTGACTTTTATGAAATAGCGGTTGAGTGCCATAAAACTAAAAAATGTTTTTAAAACCTGAACCGAGTAATAAAAAGCTATATCGTAAATGCAATCTCAAAAGTTTTGCGTGCAAAAAGACTAACTATTTTAAATGGTTAAATTATTTTCAAGGATAGCGAATTTGTATTTTAGCCTTAAATGCTTCCTTATTAACGAGTTTTATTCAGTTATAAAAAAACACGGCATTCTTTGAGAAAATAAAAAGAAAACTTCACATGGCATAGTTTTATTTTAAATTAACGTTTTAGCATACATCCGTTATCAGAAACGAAGTTTGAGCCAGTGATGCCCCTCGATTTGTCACTCGCGAGGTAAACTATAAGTTCCGCTATCTCATCCGGTTCACTTACTCTTTGGAGAAGTGTAATATCTTCTAAATCCTTCCAGGTAACTGTAGTATCAACGCCCACTGAGTTTAGTATTATATCTGTTACAACTGGTCCGGGACTGACTGAATTCACTCTAACTCCATGCTCGCTCAATTCTACAGCTGCACCTTGGCTGAATAAGTTCAATGCAGCCTTTGAGATGCCATAGGCAAGCATGCCTGATGGTGACAATAACACTTTACCTGCTACACTAGACACATTTACGACATTACCCTTGCTAGCAATCAAGTGATCTGTGCACAAACATGTCAGATGTATAGCAGCGCGTGTATTCGTAGCCATCACGTCATCAAACGCGTTTAGAATATCTCCCATTCTGATTGTTCCACTTTTCATTATCCCCGCGTTATTTACCAGTATATCAATCTTGCCGAATTCTTTGAGAGTTTGTTCGACGATACTTTTTACTTCATCTTCATTGGAAATGTCTGCACACACGATTAGATGCTTCGTGATACAAAGAGCAGCTACTTTTGCTAGCTTTGTCACGTTCCGTCCTACAAGGGTTACGTTAGCTTTCTCTTTGGAGAAAAGGATAGCTGTAGCTGCTCCGATTCCAGAACTTGCACCCGTTACGATGACGACTTTGTTTTCGAAACTCATTTTAGAATTGTTTATGTACAGCGAATGTAACAAGCATTTGTCATCCAGTATACTCAAAATAAGGATAAAATAACGCGTTGAATACATTTTAAATGCTAATTTGTTATCATTAATTACACTGTAAACGGGGTTATTGAATTTCAATGTGCTGATAATCATTTTACTGAATATTAACACTAGGCTAAATTATTTACTTTCATTTTTACTGTCTGAAATGTTACTCCATATTTTTATACCGCAAATTATTATCGTCCAATGTATCTTAACTCTGAGCGTTTGTTTTGTTACTCAATAAAACACGATTAAAGCATCATATAGAACCTATTACCTGTAGATAGTACAAGAACTGTTGGATGTTGAGAAGATCCAGTTTGGCGAGATGCCCCAGACTCATATGCTCGAAGTCTATAACAATAATAAAGCCAGGCCAGGTTCCTTGCTCGTACTGCCACAGGTCTAGCAACATGAGGACAGTTCTGTGAAAAAATAGTACACGGTTAAAACTATCCACGATGCATTGTCTTCTACCTTTTCTAAGGTATAGCGAATATAGTTTTTGACTTTTTGTAATAATACTTCGTACTAAAACGAATGCTATATAATTAGAAGACAGCATAAGATATAGCTGGATTTAAACGTTACATTTGCGAATTGTACAGCCTCAAAAGCTCTCCTTCATAAATAGTACTAAATATGCGGCGTAAAAATCTCGCCCAATGCGCTATTAACGCTAAAACTGTCACTGAACTTACTTAATAGCTTGCCCGAAATTAAAAATCTTAGGATCAGGATCCATGAAATGAGTAAACCAAATCGCTGATCCATCTCGTGAACGCGTGTCCAGTAGGGTCATTAGTCTGAAATTAGAACATGCATAGTACATTTTTCTAGGTAGTATTATTTTAGATAATTACAGTAGTTTTTAAAATACCATCTCTGCAATATGATACTTTAAAACATAAACATTAAATTTCAAATCTAAACTGACAAAATTTACGATTTACTGGTACATCACTAATCAAGACGGTAAGTTGACAGCCGTCAAACCTTAAAAACGCCAACCTTCAAGCAAAGCCAACTTCAGTTTGTAATGTTGGTACTGAATTTAAAGAAAATACATAAATTCAGAGGGCATCTATCACTATTTCGTACTAGCTGTTCCTGTACGACTTCATTCGCATAAAATTATGAAAATGTAATTTTATTGTTTACATGTGTCAAATTATCAATTGCAAATGTTAAAATGACATTACGATGACAAACCATGGCAACCTTGCTCCTTAAATAATGTTGGCAGCAACTTATGTTCTCTTCCCCACATTAGGATTTTTATCCAAAATATTTACCCCCTAAGTTTAATGGCGTAAAAGTATAAAGCCTAAAGCGTGACGTAAGTTTAAGGATTTTTATCAAAATAAAGAATTATTCAAAAATATGCTGTAATTGCTGACATCTTAGGCAACAAAGAAGTGTGTGTTTACGCTTTATTATAATAGTATAGATAGAAAAAATCTGTGTCCGTCTTACATGCTTCGCATAGTAAGGTCCACATCTTCAACTTTCCGATCTTTGAAGTACGTGGTGAAGAGAGTACGCAACGTGTAGTGCAGGTCCAGCACCTGTTTGGTCACACCAGAACTTCTGTCGCAGCAGTGATACGCTAGGATAAGGTCTAAATCTAAAACGAAAATAGTACATGAAGACAAACCCCGGTTCTTCCATTATTCTTCTACATTTGTGGATAGTTGGCAGCCCTATTCGTGACAACCCTAGAGTCGTCATAGATTAAGTAATGCCATCAGACACAATTTTGGCAACTATGTTAGATTACTTATCAGTTTTTACATGTATGTAATAATTTAGCAACAATATACTAATAATATTAATATTGAAAACAACTTGGTTATGTTCCTATGTTTATGTCCTATGTAATTGTACCGCAAATTAGTCATTCTAAATGTCAATTATGTGTCTTGTCTTGTCACCGTAATAGACAGGCTATTAGTGGTTAGAATAATTAGTACCACGTTACACGATGTTTATAAACCAAGAATGTTTCTTTTTTATTATGTATTTTGTTCTGTAACCAACCAAATCCACTTAAGCTTCATATTGGCTGTTGCTCGCAATTTTCCCAGGCCTAAATAAAAAATATAGCCTATGTTACTCACTGAAAACATAGCTTTTTATATGTGAAAGAATTTTTGAAATCGGCCCAGTACTTTTTGAGTTATTTCAATACATACAAAAATACAAATCTTTCCTCTTTATAATCTTACTAATATTGTAAATGCGAAAGTTAAATGGATGGATGGATGGATGGATGTTTGTTAGCGTTTGTAGCCTAAACGGCTGAACGGATCTCCATGAAATTTGGCACAGGTTTAGAGTATAGTCTGGAAGAACACATACGCTACTTATTATCCCGGGATAAGTTACGGTTCCCGTGGGATTCACTAATTTAGTTTTTTAATGTTCACTCGATCATTCTGCAACGGTTCAACAAATCTTATTGAAATTTGGCACAGATGTAAAACAAAGTCTGGAGTATACATGGGATAAGCTTTACCCCCGAGGTGTCCGGTTCCCGAGGGATACGTAGCTTTTTGTTATTTATATTGTTCGTATGTTTTCTAATACCACGCGGACGAAGTCGCAGGCAATAGCTCGTATTAGTATAAATTAGCTTTGCCTTGGTTCCGTTTCGCTTCTTTTTAGCTATATAACAACTTTATAAATTATCGGTATTCCTATTTATGTCTAATTAATCGTATAAGTTGCTATTTACATATAAGGAAAAAAGGCTACGATACATTTTCAAGGTTAAATGATAATTAGGTCGAATTAAATAATGTAATTCTTACCACAAATAATAAATGAAACTAAAATTAATCCGCGATGTGCAATGGCATATAAAAAACATTAATAAAGCGTTTTAAATGACACAGGAAAAAAACAGAGCGGGCGCACGCCTTGACTATACCATCGCACAACTGTTTAGTCCCGCTTTGATTACTATGCGCTTATATAGGTGCACTATTCGATTTTTAGTTGTGCAACTAAACAGTTGAATTGGCTGCGAAACAATCGACAATCGCACAACAGTTATGTTATAATTAAGTCGAAGGTGTAGGCTCGCTCTAATGCGACTTTGGACTCTAAAAAAACTCTTTAAATATTCAAATTACCTTTACTAAGAAAAGAATTGTTATTTTGTATGTATTGAAATAACTCAAAAACTAATGGGCCGATGTTAAAATTTCTCACACCGTTAGAAAGGTAATTTATCTGTGTGTGACATAGGGTACATTTTTTTATTAATTTTTTAATTTCACGTGGGCAAAGTCACGAGCAACAGCTAGTTTCGAAATAATCCGGTTTGTGCATAAGTTTTTGTTGATAAGTAAAATATCAAGGTCTTACAATTATACAAGATTCAACAAGGAAGAAACTGCATAACTAAAATAGATATATTAGATCAGTACAGATAAGAATGTCACGATATTTTTATTTATACCACTAAATGTGTTTACACTGCGTGATTTTTTTTTATAACATAAGGTGGCAAACGAGCAAGCGGCCACCTCATCCAAAATAGCGAAGCGACCGCTGTTATCCGACAGAGGAGGAGATGCACATAAAGAGGATATTCCTCTTCCTATGTTACTCCTCTGTCAAATCCACTTCCCCTTCCCATCCTTTCCTTATAAGAAAAGGGTGGTAAAGAGAAAGGGACTTAAGTTAGGCCTGTTAGTGTGGTGCCACTCATCAGACAAAACGCGGAATTGCTTCCATTTCACGCCTGTCTTCGGTGTCGTCGTGGTATTACACCGGGCGTGCCAGCCCTACAGTGCTAAGATGTTAAAGCGGGCACTACCACTGTTAATTATTACTAACATTATAAAGAGGAAAGATTTGTATTTTTTTATGTATTGAAAGAACTCAAAAACTACTGGGCCGATATCAAAAATTCTTTCACCATTAATAAGCTACGTCAACAGTGAGTAACATAGGCTATATTTTATTATTATAGTATAATGTCTCATAAAAGTTTTAATAAGTTAATATACCACTGACATCTATAAATGGAGGCTATAAGACATGGTATTTTGTGCTTATTACATTTTTGCCATTTTGGCTCTGACTGGCAATTGGTAGTTGTAGTTAGGAGTCAAATTAACTAATCCATCTATTTCTATTATAAACTACTAGCTGTTCTCGTGTGGCTTCATCAGCATGGAATTATAAAAACTTTATTTTATTGTTTACATGTGTCAAATTATCAATTGCAAATGTCAAAATTACATGACATGATGACAAAGCATGGCAAGCTTGCTTCCTTGATGTTGGCAGCAACTTATGTTCTCTTTCCCACATGGGTTTATATCCAAAATATTTACCCCCTAAGTTTAATGTGAAAAGTGTAGGGCTTTTTATTAAAGTAAGAATTATGCAAAAATATGCTGTGATTACTGACATACGCCACAAAGTTGTGTGTGTTTACGCTTTATTATATTAGTATAGAAGTATAGATTACTGACAGTACTGACATTGTATTAACTAACCTGTGATGTACTTTCCAGGGAGATGAGGTTGTGTGTCGAGCCATTTGCGAAGTTCTGCAATATCTTGAGGTGTGATACCCGTTTTCTTCTTGTACTCATCTTCTATAGGAAACTCCGAAATAACTTCTGACGGCATTTTGCTGAAACTTCATTCAACATCTTACTCATATGAATGTGAAAGTTTGGATGTATGGAGGTTTTATGGATTTCCATAAATTAAATAGATTTATTCATATCTTAGCTTCTTCGCAACTTTGACCAGTACTAGCTTTCACTCGCGACTCCGACCACGTTGAATTAAAAAAATAAACAAAACCAAGTAGCTTATGTGTTCTTCCAGACTATGCTCTACATCTGTGCCAAATTTCATCGAGATCCGTTCAGCAATTTTGGCTACAAACTACAAACATCCATCCATCTAAACTTTCGTGTTTATAATATTAGTAAGATTCGATATGTTAGATGTTATGCAAAAACCCGCCTAATTTATACGGAATTATGCTAAAAATAAATATTGTAATGTGTTAAAAATCTAACATCAATCCATATTCGCGGAAACTTGTTTTAATACGTAAAAATGTAAAACATGAAATCTATTCAGAAATCTAAATTATAACAAAAATAAAAAAAAAATAAAAAATATACCGACGAATTGAATACCTCCTTCTTTTGGGAAGTCGGTCAAAAAGTAGACTTGGAATATTCAAAGATTCCAAAAAAAATAAAGCATCACAAAGTTAAGTCTAATAAGTTTGATTGTCAAAATTTTATATTTAAAAAAAACATATACTTTTGCCCGACTATAAGGAGGGTAAAGATGTTTTCAGATTGTGTATCTGTACCTATGAGTTTCCAATAGGGAAACACTTATATGAAACATTTCTCTATTTTTCCCATTCCCAGCGTCAGAGTTAACACGAAAATTTGCAAAAATAATACTGGTATAAACATCGATAATTTTACAAGATTTTTCTGGGTACAACCCTATAAATGTGCATAAATCTTATACAATAATTACGATACGAAAACTTCCTTAATTCTTAATTAGAAATTTATATTAAAATGTTTTAAAATTAGCACATAATTACAAGAAATGATACTTACAATTTACAATCTTAAATATCGAATGCAATCATCACAGCACTATTTAATGTTAAAACGGAGCAGAGCACTTGCACATGCGTCTTGTAATACTCACGGCGGCGGATAAAATGTTTTGTATCGCGTCCTTATTCATATAACTTTAAAGATGAATCACAGGCGGAAGCGAATATGTCATAAGTGGTCCAGATGTATTTTTAAGCGGCTCTATGCCGCATTCTCGTACCCCTAACATGATGATTACGACTTTCATTTCAGGGAAAGGACATCTGACCCGAGAGAGTTCATCTCCTGACTCCGTCCACGCGGAATTAAAAGAAAACTAAAGCAACTAGCCTATATTTTCTTCGCAACTATACTCTATACACCAAATTTCATCCAGATTCATTCAGCCGTTCTGGCTACAAACTTTAACAAACATCCATCCTTCCATTTACGTTATAGCGATTTTACTTGAAATTCAATTGTCATTTATTTATGAGAAACAAAAAAAACGATTTCCCAGACCGTTGTACACATTTAAAAAAACAAACGATTTGAGAACCTCTTCAATTTGGATTCATTTAAAAATAATGTTAATCTCATATTATAAATGCGAAAGTTTAGATGGATGGATGGAAGGATGGATAGATGGATGAATGTTTGTTAGAGTTTGTAGACTAAACGGCTGAAGGGATTTCGATGAAATTTGACATAGATGTAGAGGATAGTCTGGAAGACCGCATAGGATACTTGCTTTTGTTTTTTTTTTTAAATTTCGCGCGGACGGAGTCGCGGGCGAAAGCTAGATGCAAATAAAAAACAAAACAATGTTATGGCTGTTCGTATAGTGCGATATAGTTTACTGACCCGCTGGGTATAAGTTTAAATTATACCTACACTAGCATCCTCCTATCAAAAGAGGGTCACAAGATCCTTGTTTGTATTGACCTTGTCATGTCTTTTGTGTCATTTTCTATGTCCATGTTTTACATATTTTGTTACAGAACTATTAGCGATAGCATTGTCTCAGAGCAGGCAATCGCACAATTGTTGTGCGATTGTCGATTGTTTCGCAGCCAATTCAACTGCTTAGTTGCAAAATTAAAAAACGAGTAGTGATCACCTCCATATCAGCTTAGAAATCAAAGCAAGACTAAAGAGTTGTGCGATAGTGGTAGTTTCATAAGCACCACTTAACAAAACATGCCTTTAGCTTACTTACGTGGTGACCGTGGATACTATTTTTTTATAACATAAGGTGGCAAACGAGCAAGCGGCCCCCTCAAATCGCCAAAATGGCGAAGCGACCGCTGCCCATAGACATCCGCAATTGCAGATGCGTTGCCTACCCTTATACTACGGAGGAGGAGACGCACAGAAAGAGGATATTTCCCCTTCCTATGCATCTCCTCTACCGTCAAATCCACTTCCTCTTCCCAACCTCTCCTTATAAGAAAAGGGTGGTAAAGAGAAAGGGACTTAAATTAGGCCTCCGGCACCACACTCATCAGACGAAACACGGAATTGCTTCCATTTCACGCCTGACTTCTGTGTGGTTGTGGTATTACTGGGGGCGTGCCGGCCCTGCAGTGCTAACATGTTAAAGCGGGCACTACTACTATAATATGTTTTTGACGTCTAAAGCCGCTAGTAAAGGAAAAAAAAAATTAAACTTGTTACCTTAAAATTGTTAATTCCTATAGTTCAAAAATTCCTAGTCAAAATAATAGCAGGCGAAGTTTACAATCGCATGGTGACAATACTACGTTTCGGCCTTCAGCCGATTGTATAGAATGGGTTATAATTTTGTTTTAGCTCTGTGATTTAATTACATTACATACTAGTTTTGTGAACAAGGACGATGAACATGTAATTTTGATGACTTGTTACTATTTATTCTCGTGAGATTTGAGATTCTTTTTTATTTATTTATTTTTTTTATAATATAAGGTGGCAAACGAGCAAGTGGCCATCTAATTCCACCGAAATGGAAAGCGACCGCTGCCCACAAACATCCGCAATTGCAGATGCGCTGCCTACCCTTAACTGACGGAGGAAGAGATGCACATAAAGAGGACATTTCCCCTTCCTATGCGTCTCCTCACCGTCAAATCCACTTTTCTTCCCATCCTTTCCTCTTAAGAAAAGGGTGGAAATGGAAAGAGACTAAAATTAGGCCTCCGGCACCACACTCATCAGACGAAACGCGGAATTGCTTCCACTTCACGCCTGTTTTCTGTGTGGTCGTGGTATTACACCGGGCAAGCCGGCCCATTCGTGCGAAGATGTTAAAGCGGGCTCTACCACTGTTAAACGATGATAAAAATGTAATTTTGATGACTTGTTACTATTTATTCTCGTGAGATTTGAGATCTTTTTTATAAATCACTACTAAAAAAATATAAAAGCGGACCATCTATATTCTTAGACGCAATTTCTTTTTACTTACATTATAAATTAGCTTTCGCTCGCGACTCCGTCTGCGTGGAATTAAAAAGAAACAAAGGTGAGTAGCCTGTGTGTTCTTCCCGACTATGCTCTACATCTATGCTAAATTTCATCCAGATCCGTTCAGCCGTTTAGGCTACAAACTCTAATAAACATCCATCTAAACTTTCGCATTTATAATATTACTATGATGCTATTGTTTTTATGGATGTTTGATAGAGTTTGTAATCTAAACTACTGAACGGATGTCGATGAAATTTGGCATAGATGTAGAAAATAGTTTGAAAGAATACATAGGGTACTTACTGAGTTTTTTCTATTTCCGCGCAAATTGAGCCACGGGTGTAAGCTAGTAGTATTAGAAACGACACAGTTTATTGTTTTATTACGTAACTCCAAAACAGCTAAACGGATCTGTATTTTATTCTACCACTTGCCCTTATCCCTTACGAAAGTTCGGAACAGTATGTGCTGCTCTTCCATACATCTCTATCAGCCGTCATATCTGAATCCAATCTTTTCTTAAACATATCCTCTTTTACACAATCCATCCATACTTTCTTCGGTCTACCTCTACCTTTGTACCCATCCACATTATTTTACACTTTCTGGTTTATGTCCCCAACGTTTCATCGCATAACATCCTCATCATCTCCTTATCCTACTCCCGTAGTGGCGCAACAGGTTTTTGTCCTCTACATAACTCTATCTTACGTCATCTCAGTCATCACTCCCTTTTTGATCATGTCACCTTTTACACAATCCATCCATCTCTTTCTAGGTCTACCTCTACCTGTACCTTTCCACACTCATAACTAACATTCTCCTTATTACATGCGATTCATCCCTCCTCATAACATGCCCATACCATGCTAACCTTTTACTCCTTACCTTCTCTACTACTGGGGCTACTCTCAACTTCCTCTAAAAACCTACTTTTGTATTCGGCACTATTTTTTGCCGCCAGCCGCCTGTCGCCAACCCTACTTAGGATTATTTCGTCGCATATCATGCGTGGTATTTTATTCTACCACATAGGTAAAGATAGGTAAATAGCTATCCGAAGACGAAGATGTAACCTCTAGTTTTTAATTCGTCTTAATTACTAGTATTCAAGCGGTTTTTCAAGATAATGATCGCAATTATGTGTTTCATGTTTTTATAGACGTCTGTATTATTACAGACATTAATTATTATTAATTACTATTATTAAATATTTAACATTGTAATTAATAATCCGTCAGACAACAATGATAATGTAAACCAGTTTAATATAACTATGTTACATTACAAAATAGTTGCAGATCGCCGCGCACACATTTGACCAAACTATCGCACAACTGTTTAGTCGCTTGGATACCTATAAGCCAATGGAGGCGCATACTATTCGATATTAATTGTGCAACTTAACAGTTGAATTTTATGCAAAACAATCGACAATCGCACAACTATTGTGCGATATTTTAGTCAAAGATGTGCCTGCTCTTATGCTCTGCCAATAAATATGTTATTCTTAACAAGTTCAAGGAAATACACTATTTATAACTACAGTCTTGTTCGTGCTTTCGATTTAAATATATGATAACACGAAAAAAAATAAAATACTGAAGTCAAAATAGGTCTGTACTCATTAAAATGTATTACAAAATAGTAACAAAACGATAACAACATTTTTAAAGCATAAAATGACTTAAAACTATAAATATTGGGCTTTATTATAATAAACCTTGATAATTTTTAGTTCAAACACACGTCCACTCTTATACCGTAATATAGCGCTTAACGCGGATTTCCAATCCATGGTTATTGAAACATTACACGTATGCATAATGCTTCTTTAAACTATCTATCTTCTTTTTCTATTCCTATGTCCCCAAAGTGGGGCAGAGGGCGTCTACAGTATGCCGCCAGCTCGTTCTGTCTTAGGCTCTGCGTTGTATCTCGGACCATGACAGCCCGATTGCCTTCAAGTTAAATTTTAGATAGTTTAATTGCCTTTAAACTATCTGTATCTATACTAATATAATAAAGCGTACACACACTACTTCGTGACGTACGATGTCAGTAATTACAGCATATTTTTAAATATTTTTTTTCTTTGATAAAAAGCCCTTTACTTACGTCACGCGGCTATATATTCTCACGTTATCAATCTTAGGAGATAAAACGTTGAATAAAAACGTTTATGTGGGAAAGGGACCATAAACTACAGGCTGACAACATCGAGGAAGCAAGATAGCCATGGCACGCTTTCGTTGTCATTTGTGCATTTGAATTTTGACATATGCAATTGAGAATTAGACAAATATAAACAATAAAATAAAGTTTTTATAATTTCACAAGGATGAAGCCGCACGGGAACAGCCAGTAAAATAAAGTATATATACCGAAAGCAGTGTGTAGCATGTTGCTGGTGAAACATATAACCAAGTAGACTTTTACATTATCAATCACTGGTCAAAGAGTTACAAGAGGAATTTTGAAATGGCGCCAGTGGTGTAGAAATTGAGAAGCAAAAGGTTAGCGTGGTATGGACATGTTATGCGACGAGACGATGGGGACATGTACTTGAAAGTATTAAGAATGAATGTGGATGGCTACAAAGGAAGAGGAAGACCGAAGAAAGTATGGATGGATTGTGTGAAAGAGGATATGCTTAAGAAAGGAGTGGATTCAGATATGACGGCTGATAGAGATGTATGGAAGAGCAGCACATACTGTGCCGATAAGGGATAAGGGCAAGTTGATGATGATGGTCAAAGAGTTACAATACATGTTTAACTAAACAGAGAAAAATTATTTCTTTTGGGGAAATACACTTATTGATTAATCAATATCCAACTTCTTAAAAGATCCTTCAACACTTCCGAATATAGACAAGTCCATCCCTTTCCCTGGACGCAACGATTCCGTTACTCTTTTGTCGTTCATCTTCAAGAAGAAATCTGCATTATCCATTAATTTAGCTAACGTCTCCTCTGTGAAAATAAATACACATTAAAATACTTAAGAAAGGGAGTGGCAAGGAAGAGGCAGTATCCTTTTCCTGTTCTTCCCTCTGGTATATTTAACAGAGGGAAGAACAGGAAAAGGACATTTGGAGCAAGGTATTCCTTGCTCCAAATGTAACCTAAGTCAATAGGAATAACGTGATCTATCGATTGGCGATCGAGCGTCAGTGGCTCAGTGATTCAAGCACTTGACTTGTAATCTACAAGTCTTGGGTTCGAATCCCGCCATGTACCAATATGTCTTTCGATTTTTCAAATTTTCATATGTACATAATTTACCCGACGTTCTTACGGTGAAGTAAAACATCATGATGCCAGCACATATCGGCGAAGAAATTCAAAGATATGTGTGAAGTCAACCAACCCGCACTTGGCCAGCGTGGTGGACTAAGGCCTAGTCACCCCTTATTAGGGTAGGCTCTGAGCTGGTTATGATGATCTATCGATTACCAAGATTGTACTCCCCATCATAAAAAGTGCTTAGACAATCGATGGATTGTTATAAAGGATTGGGTATTGAGTTTGGCCATAAGTTAATAGCTATATATTTATCAATGGACAGAGATGGATGCTAGTTACTTTACCAAGCTATAACTGACCTCTAATTTCTTTACAACTCTTGAACTGTCCTCCAGCATCCTTTGGTAATCCAATCATCGGTACATATGACTCAAGCGTTGAAGAACCCTTTACGTGAATCCTCACTGAGTCTAAAAGTTCCTTCTTCATAAACGGTTTCAATATAAACATTAGTTTGTCTACGAACGACGGTGCGTTTAATAAATGCACCTCTTTTAACTTTAGGAACATTGCTTCCTGAAATGCATAGAAAAGTTACAAATACTTATTGAAGATTGGAGGAACATACGTATATAGTTTTGTAAACATTATAGTTTCCAAATTGTAACCTTTGCAAATTGTCTAAAGCGCTTGTAAAACTTTTTAATACCAAAACAATTTTTACAAAAATAAAACAAATAAGATGTTCTAATGGCCAGTATATACAGACATTTGTATTTGTTCAAAATTTAACTACTTATTTGTATAGAACCTATATCTATATCTATACTAATATTATAAAGAGGAAACATGTGTATTTTGTATGTATTGTAATAACTCAAAAACTACCGGGTCAATTTCAATAATTATTTTACCAATAAAAATCTATACGTTATCACTGAGCGACATAGTATTTATTTTAAACAAGCCTTCGCCCGCGACTTCGTCCTCGTGGAATTAAAAAGAAACAAAAATGAGTATTCTGAACAATACTCTACATTCCAATCTATACTCTACATCTATGCCAAATTTCATCGAAATCAGTTTAGGCCACAAACATCTATCCATCCATGTAAACTTTCGCATTTATGTATGATTTTTATGTGAACGTAGTCAAGAGGAAAAACTAGTATGCTATAAAAATGTACCTGCAAATAATATAGGAATTGCTGCACAACAACGATGTCCAATTTCCCTAAATGGGAAAGTGTGACGCCATGTAAATCAATTATTAGACTCAGGCCAGAGCACGTACCGTACTCGTACTGATAAAGGTCCAACAACATTACTGCAGCCCTGTAATAACAAGTAGAAACATTTTAAATTATTGTTTATCTACACTTGCACTCAAAAACTACTGGGCTAATTACAAAAACCTGCGTTATACATTAACTTGGGTTAATTTTTATCTTTTCTCGTGGACGAAGTCGTGGGTAACAGCTAATAATTTATAAAAAAAAAGTACTTGAAATAATTCTTCTACAAGCAACTTCTATTATACAAACTCAAATATAAGTAATTACGTTTCTACTGATGAGTTTATTCCATTTAAATAATTGTATTACATGCAAAGGAAATTATTGCCATCTCTCCTTTCTATTAAAGCAACGGCTTAACTTGTTGAAGATAAAACTGTCATTTCAGCGAATTGTAGCATTTAATTAAAATCAAAATTACCTAATAACATCGGTGAGCACAAACACTTTTGCGTCGTAGTCCAGTAAACAGTGGTAAGACACCGTGTAGCCTTCGTGTGAAATAACTTCTAAAGGCGTTGCCAATCTGAAATGTGACAAGTGTATACTCAGAACTTAACTGTATTGACAAATGTATACTTTGATCTTTATAAATAGATAGGTCATTGGAAATTTGTTCTTCTGTAAACGTTAGTGACAATTCGATCTCTATTTTTATACTATAAGGTGGCAAAGGAGCAAGCGACCACCTGAATCCACCTAAATGGAAAGCGTTCGTTGCCCATAAACATCTGTAATTGCAGATGCGTTGCCTACCCTTAATTGACGGAGGAGGACACGCACATAAAGAGGACAATACCCCTTCCTATGCGTATTCTCCACCGTGAAATCCACTTTTCCTTCCCATTCTTTCCTCTAAGAAAAGGGTGGAAAGGGAAAAGGATTAAAATTAGGCCTCCGGCACCACACACGAAACGCGCAATTGCTTCCACTTCACGCCTGTCTTCTGTTCGGTCGTGGTATTGCACTGGGCGAGCCGGCCCATTCGTGCGAACATGTTAAAGCCGGCTCTACCACTGTTAAAATATCATAGTGCGATAAGTAATGAGGCGCATAATATTTTTTATAACCTATTTCGTATTTTCAAGTTTCAATGACTTACGTAACGTCTAAAGCCTTCAATACACGAGGATCATCCACTCTCCTGTTGTGGAAAAAGTTACTAAACATCGTTCGTAATGTATAATGTAAATCTATGACATCCTTCGTCACACCAAAACTTTGGTTGCAAGCATGGAACGCAAGTAAAAGGTCCAAGTCTGAAAGGGTTTTAATTAATCTTATAAAAACAAAAATAAAATTTTACTCAAGTGACATAACTTAGTGTACTATTAAATTGTCTTTAAACTTCGCCTGTTTGTCAAATTATACGGTTTTTTCACTGATCTTTATTAAATGGACATGTTTCGTTCGGCCTTCAAACATCTTCTTTGAATCTTCAATCACCAACCGCAACTAACAGCGCCAAAATAATGGAAATCAAATAGGCACTAAATACCAAGGTTACCTGTCCATTTATAACGGACAATGTATTTTATTCGACGCTTTTTTCGTATTGGTTTGAAGTTTGTCGTTTGGTGCGTTTTATCCACAATTGTTGGGGAATAAACAAATTTGATAGTTTAATATCGGTCGATAACTTTAAAAATTAGATATCGCCCGCGACTCCGTTCGCATGAGAAAAAAACTTAAGTAAGTAGCCTATGTGTTCTTCCAGCCTATCCTCTATATCTATGCCAAATTCCATCAAGATCCGTTCAGCAGTTTAGGCTACAAACTCTAACAAACATGGATCCATCTAAAATATTGACCTGTTATTAAGTCGTGGGGTAAGTGAGGCTGTGTTTTCAGCCAATCCCTAAGATTTTTAATATCTTCTTTTTTGATACCAGTCTTCTTGCACTCATCAGCTATTGACACTGTTGTTATTTGTAGGGAGGACATTTTCACTGTAAATTCTGGAAAAAAGGGGTAACTTTACATTACTTTTAAAGGAATTTGAAATCTTTTATTATATATTACGTTCAAATTTATTCTAATAGGCGTCTACTAAGTAAATAAATATCTAAAAATGTTTGTTTAATCCTGTCAAACACGAACAAACTTAGCAAATAAATATTTTGACGATGGAATTAAATTTAGTGTTATGCAATATCTGAAATACTAATGGGAAGGGGAATTTTAGACGAAGGAGGGAACGCGTAAGAAGGGGAAAATATTCTGCGTCCTGCTCAGATTAAAGGTAACGCTTCTGCCTGCGGTTGCTTCTCTACTACGGCGAATTAAAAGCCGCTTGCTACTACTGTTTATATAAAAACTAGCTGTTCCCGTGCGATTTCATCAGCATAAAATTATTTTATTGTTTACATGTGTCAAATTGTCAATTACAAATGTCAAAATGACATGACATGACAAAACTTGGCAATCTTGCTTCCTTGATGTTGGCAGCAATTTATGATCTTTTTCCCACATTAGGGTTTTTATCTAAAATATTTACCCCCTAAGTTTAATGGCGGGGAAGTGTATAGCCTAAAGCGTGACGTAAGTGTAGGGCTTTTTATTATAGAAATAATTATTCAAAAATATGCTGTAATTGCTGACATCTTAGGCAACAAAGAAGTGTGTGTTTACGCTAATTATAATAGTATAGATTACTTACTTTTCCTATTGTCTTTTCAAGTTGAAAATTTATTGTCACTGGATAATATTATATTCTTTTTATTTTGTTAGTCTGCACACTTTTGTTGTCAGTAGACAAATAAACGAATTAAAAAAGATTTGAATCTTACGAGTTGATAGCGGAAATACCAAATGTTATTCTATCCTTGAATTTTAATGAGATCAACACAAAACAGTTATTTTTCCTTGTGAAAATTATTCCTATTGTTATTAATTATTAATTGCCAATTATTTTGACTGTGATTTCTTTAATCTATACTATATCTATACTATTATAATAAAGCGTAAACACACACTTCTTTGTTGCCTAAGATGTCAGCAATTACAGCATATTTTTGAATAATTCTTTTATTAATAAAAAGCCCTACACTTTCGTCAAGCTTTAGGCTATATATTTTCTTGTAATTTTATTTTATTTGTAAATATTTTAGATAAAAAACCTAATGTGGGAAAGAGACCATAAGTTGCTGCCAACATCAAGAAAGCAAGATTGTTAAGGTTTGTCATGTCATGTCATTTTGACATTGGCAATTGACAATTTGACAGATGTAAACAAGAAAATAACATTTTCATAATTTCATGCGGATGAAGCCGCACTGGAATAGTTAGTATGAAGTATTTTTCAAGGTCTTCTGCAAAAAAGTATCGCAAAGAACATAATCGTTGGAATTTTTAGGCGAATGAAAAAACTAGAGAAAAACGTAATTAGTGTAGTTAATGATTAATTATCATAATTTTCTTAAACAACTTTAATTAATTAAGATGTACGATTTGTGTAATCTACGTAAAACTTGAAATAAAATCGTTAATATTTGTATTATGAAAATTGCTTCTTAAAAATTAAAGGCCCATTCGCAAAGATCCATTGATAATCTGAAACCAGTTAGTGCAGATAAATAGATATAACATCTGAGAGCTACCAGTCCAATTGGAATCATAAGCCCGAAACTCTTTGTAAGAGCGAATTCAGTGAGTTTCTGCGCCTGTGTTATTATAATAGCAAAATATTAATATTGCTTTAGTTGCTGCTAAATTTTACACAGGTCTCGTAAGTCAAGATGGACGTCAAAATTGCAACTCCATTGATGAGATTTTCTTGAGAAACGAGTGTATTATGAGAAAAAGTGAAATATCATGTTGGATGACTATCTATGTTACACAAATTCTAAAAAATCTGATACTTTTCCATGTATGAGCAATTTGTTAAAAATATATAGTCTATGGGTACTGTCTAAAGTTGCGATTGCGCAAATTGACCTACGTCATAGTTACCAGTCTAGTTCCGAGCTTGTGCAAGCTTCTCGAAGGTTCATTCATTCACTCATTCAACCAGTTCACCTTCGGTCTCGGTCAGTGAGTGCCGCGCAGTCGAGCAATCGGTCGTTTCGCGGATTCGTGTTACGCATAAAGTGAGTGACTTTTGAGAATATATCTCTGTGAAATCATTCGTTCAATCAAAATTAAGGTAACATTTTAAATATTTCAACTAATTTATTCTTATATAAGATAAGTTTTAATTGAACACTATGTTTAAAAAGTTATTACAAATCTAGTTTTACGTCGACGCGTAATTTTAAGCAATATTTATGTAGTCAATGTATTAATTTACAATTATCTTTTTATTTGATGATTATTTAAAACTAAAAACATTTGAATATGTTATTTCTTTTCAATGATTTATAGAAATTAACATCATATGTCACGCGTAAAATAAATTATTCATTTTAATGGCTTGTTCAAGAAAAAACTAGTTTAAAAAAAGAATGCGGATCTGATAAAAAAATACTGGTCGTTAGGAAATTGTATTTAAATCTAGAAGTTGTTGATATTTGGCAGTTAATTATCATTTTATGAAAACAAAATTAATCTGTCATTGACAGTTGAGTTATATTTCAAATTCTTGGTTATTATTATCATAATATAAATATTATTGCATTAATCATACTAATATTATAAATGCGAAAGTTTAGATGGATGTTTGTTTGAGTTTGTAACCTAAACGGCTTAACGTATCTCGATGATAAGTGGCATGAATGTAGAGGATAGTCTGGAAAACTACATGGGGTACTTACATTTGTGTTTTTTTAATTCCACGCGGACGTAGTCGCGGGTGAATGCTAGTAATCATGATAATAATAAATGCGAAAGTTTAGATGGATGGTTGTTTGTTAGTTTGTAGCCTAAGCGGCTGAACGTATTTCGATGAAAGGTACAGATGTAGAAGGTAGTCTGGAAGCCTGTGTTAGGCTACTCACTTTTGTTTTCTTTTTAATTTCACGCGGTGAGTCGCGGACGAAAGCTAGTATTAATGCGTTAGTTGGGATGACGTTTTTAACTACGTATCTTTAAAAACTACTCCACGAATCCTGTTTAAATGTAGAACAAAGTCTGGGACAACTCAATTTTTGACATTAGTCTGTGAAAGTTTTACGCAATGTGAACAAGTAAATATGTTTTTGTTAACTACTACTTACTACTACTAAAAATTATTTTAATAGTTAATTAATTATTATAGATTAATCCCGTCCTTACATCCTGTGGAATAGCATAAGAACAGCACAATATAAACGAAACTATATGTACATATTTAACTCATCTACTTGCCCTTATACCTAACGGAGGGTCGGCACAGTACTCGTATGTGCTGCTCTTCCATACATCTCTATCAGCTGTCATATCTGAAACCACTTCTTTCTTAAGCATATACTCTTTCACGCAAACATGTATTTAACATTTCGATATTTTTTTATATCAACTTCTACAGACTCTTGGTCCGTACTCTTTTTTGCACAGTTCGTTTTTCTTTAAATTTTTTTTGTTGCGTTATCCTTATAACACTAGTGAGTTCCTTTTTTTTAATTAACTTTTTTTCCATAAATACAATAACATAATATTACTACAAAACAATTTTTACTTATACTAGCACAGATAATAATTTATTTTATAATAACATTTGAACTTTAAGGTTAAATTTAGAAACCAAGTAAATATAACAGGACACGTGACATTTAAGTAATTAAAGCTGATATTGCATCTAAGTTCTAAGCAACTTAAGTAATTTATAGCATCCGTAACCTTTGGCGAACGATCTCAGTTGCCAAGGCTTACGTACAGAGAGGCTCTATTTATCTGAAGCAACGATTTTTGAAGGTTCTATTACGAATGCAACTTATTATAGAAGAAATAGAAATAATTTTATTAAAAAATAACAGATTAACAATTAAAATAACAGTTATACCAATTAAAAGATAAATAAAAGTGTGGTTAATATACGATTAATCTGGTGATGCCCACACTAGGTAATGCCCCTATCGTGGGCATCGAAAACAGCAGGAAAAATCTTTTCATACATTAATTACTAAAAACCTACGCTTACAGCGTTTCGGTATAATTTATGAATTATATATTGCTCCAGTATATGTAATAAATAATCATACTAATATTATAAATGCGAAAGTTTAGATGGATGTTATAGTTTGTAGCCTAAACTGCTGAACGTATTTCGATGAAATTTGTCATAGATTTCTGGAAGAACACATAGGCTACTTACGTTTGTATTTTTTAATTCGAGAAAGTCGCGGGCGAAGCTAGTATTAGATATGTGAAAGTTTAGATGGATTGTTACAGTTTGTAGCCTAAACTGCTGAACGGATTTCGATTAAATTTGACATAGATGAACATAGTCTGGAAGAACATATAGGCTACTTACTTTGGTTTTTTTTAACTCCACGCGGATTATTTTAATGTAATTAAATAATTAAATAAAAGTAAAAAAAAACAGTCCAAGTATCCAATCGCTACGGGATTCTGCTGCCTGGGCCTTGCGTTAATAATTTATAATTAATTTAGTTTATTACTATCATTATTGTTTGTTTATGTTTATCCGTTTGTGTCTTAATGTTGCATATGTGTTTCAAATAAAGATAATAAAAAAAACTCCACGCGGATGGAGTCGCGGGTAAAAGCTAGTTTTAAATATTACGATCCTAAGGTATAAAAATTATTGACGATCGCCATTAGTTCATTAATTTTGTATGATAACATAATCACGCCCTGAAACTAGGGGTAGATAGGGACCACAAACTTCCATTTAACGTCCTAGCTCCTGTCTCTACTTCAAAGTGTAATTTACTTTTAAAAACAGAACAGATTTCTTACAAAAGTTTTAAGCTGTGATTTTAGTTATATTTATGTTTTAAAATTGCAAATTGTCCTCGTTTATAAGAACATTTCAAATAATTAATCTTTGCAATTCGTTGTGTAAGGTTCGTTGCATGTTTTCCTAACTATTTCAATAATTACAAACTTTACTTTTAATGGATTAAACAAGTCAAATCTTATGTAAGAAAACGCTCGATAACTGAAGTAAATTAGTGAAATTATTTCATATTCATAAGATTACTTTATTATTAACATTGTTGTAATTTTATTAATTACGCATATATACTATACTATTGTAATAAAGCGTAAACACACACTTCTTTGTTGCCTAAGATGTCAGCAATCACATCATATTTTCGAATAATTCTTTTTTAAATAAAAAGCCCTACACTTAGGTCACGCTTTAGGCTAGATATTTTCACGCTATTAAACTTAGGGAGAGAATATTTTGGATAAAAACCCTAATGTGGGAAAGAGACCAAAAGTTGCTGCCAACATAAAGGAAGCAAGGTTGTCATCATGTCATAACACTTTGACATTTGTAATTGATAATTTGACAGATGTAAGCAATAAGATAAAATTTTCATAATTTAATGCGGATGAAGTCGCACGGGAACAGCTAGTTATAAATAAATCCAAATATCGGGATATGCAATTTTAGACGCGTTGATGTCTTTTATTTTAAAATGTGAATAAAGAAATCAGGCGCAGTACCACTTCTTACAATATAGAAAACTTACTATAATCTGATCATATCGTCCATTAAGGTTACCATAACTTACAATACTAAAGTAAATAGTCTAAAATTGGACTAATCGAATCTATACAATCAGTCGGGCCAATGGAATCTTCCCTACCCGCCGATCAACGTAACGGAAAACACCCCCGTCTTAGGGAATTATCTGGTAGGATCATATAAGAATGCTGCTTTAGTTGTAAAACCGAAGTAATTACTAAGTATAACTTAATAGAGGTGCTTATTTCGTCATTTCACCTTGATATAGTTGATTAAGATTTACAGACGCATTTGACCTTCAATAGTGGCCGAATGTTAGTGAAAATATAATTTTAATAGTTATAAGGTCAAAGAGTTACGTAAAACATATGCTAATACGATGTACATGGTATTTAACTAGTATTTATAATAACAATAGGTCTCTTTGTTTCCATACGAGCTGTTGCCCGTGACTTCTTCCGCGTGGTATTAGAAAACATACAAACTATAAAAAATACAAAAAGCTACGTATCCCTCGGGAACCGGACATTTCTCGGGGCTGCAGCTTATCCCATGTGTACTCCAGACTTTGTTTCATATCTGTGCCAAATGTTAATAAGATATGTTGAACCGTTGCAGAATGATCGAGTAAACATTAAAAAACTAAATTAATGAATCCCACGGGAACCGTAACTTATCCCGGGATAAAAAGTAGCCTATGTGTTCTTCCAGACTATGCTCTAAACCTGTGCCAAATTTCATGGAGATCCGTTTAGCCGTTTAGGCTACAAACGCTAACAAACATCCATCCATCCATCTAAACTTTCGCATTTATAATATTAGTAAGATTAGCAAAGATATATGACGTGATATCTATGTACAGTCATGGAATTCCGCGAAGTTCCATTTACAGAAAAATTGACTTGTTCCTTACAAGACAATCTCCACATCTTTTCACAAATAAATTAGGTAGCAGTGAGTTGCACAAACGTCGGAGTAGTAAAAACAATTATCCGTCTACCGAATGTTTTTTTTTGTGCAGACACAGTTAATAATATTCTTTTTTTTTTTGTTTATGTAACAATTATTACACATATTTAGATTGATTTTAAAGCTGTTTTATAGGTTATTGTTTCTCGTCATCTCAACCGTACGAAATATATAAATACTAGCTTTTAAGATGTAACATCGCAAGATTCCCCGATTGTACTTTGTGTTTGATTTCGTTAGAGGAATGAAATATTTAATTAACCAAATAAATTCATAGAAAAGCCAATGACCAAACATTTGAACGGGGAAAATCTTTCGTTAAAAGTTTGCAGGAAATAGTGATTGGTAAAAACCATCTCGTGACCTATTGGTTAGGTTACGAATTCTATTTGCATTGGTTTTTTTTCATAATTTCAATTTTTCTTTTCGTTTATTGCATTAAAAATTCAATGATTTGCATAATTTCCTCTTTTTTACTAAGTCGATAACATCAGCAAAATGTAATAAAGCCTGTTTCATCAAAATTAAAGTTTTTTTTAATATTGGTTGTTTATTATCTATACTATTGTAATAAAGCGTAAACACACACTTCTTTGTTG